TAACTATACAATAAGAATTTTGTTTAATTTAACGTATCGAATATAGTTCATAATTCTATGCACATGCACACGAATGAAAGTAGGAATGGATTGTCGTCTGAACGAGGAGGGTACTTGGTCGAGTAAGAATAAATCGTGCACAACATTTTCTCGAGATGTGAAAAACTGAAATCATTTTAAAAAAAAAAATCCCCATATAAGAAGTCAACGGTCAAAGATTTGCATTACTGTCCTGTCTCCCAAATTTATATTAAAACGTCCAGAATATATAACCATTCCCAGAAATCCTCACTACACATTGTCACAGCACCAAGCACTAGGCGTCCCACTTGGTTCCGGGCCTACCCAAATTGGCGCACCCGCTTACCCTCAATTCCCCCTCTATTTTTAATGCAAAATATAATTTTGAGCTAAGACCCAGCTAGAGATGGTAACGGGGCGAGTTCGGGGCGCTTCGGAGCGGGGGCCCCGTCCCATCAACTTGTCGGGGCGGATTTTTTTCGCCCCATTCGAGACGGGGTGGGGCGAATTTTTTTGTCATCACTAGACCCAGCCGGTCATACTGGATAGAATAGAATTCAGACATTTTGTCATCAGCAATTGAGTTTATGCAATGCTACGTAACATTATTCTACAATTTTAGATCATATAATAGTGTTTACATTTTGATATCTTGAGTTTCTTTTTTTCCTAAAGAAAAAATCACTTTAGCGTATGTAAATTATACACGTGTAATTGAAAGCAAAATCGAGCATTTCACAGTTTCAAGTTGTAGAATACTTCTTGGGTCATCATTTGTAGGGATTCTTAATATGAATTCATCTTATCTATATTTTTAAATGCCACACGTTTTTATACGTTTAGTAAGTCTCTAAAATTAAAATTGTTCAATACTTCTGTTATCATCGTGATCGTTAGATCATGTCAACTGATTGAAAAAAAGGAATGGTCACATGTTTTTATATATTTAGTAAGCAAATTATTACGACTCAATACTTCTGCCAGCATCTTAACCGTTGTATTAATTCACTATTCGTCCTAAGAAATTGACAGGTTAAAGTTACGTGGGATGTCGTGTTTGTAATTAAAGAAGAAAAGGATTAGTTCAACACGAGACACGTGGCATCCAGGTGTGAGATGATGTCGGAATGATGTAAGATTGAGGGCTCTTCAGGCAACAATCATTCTTGATTGTGGGAGAGTTTCGAACAATATTAGATTAATTAGTGCCACTTTCGGTGAACTTAGGGTTCTTGTTGACTATAGAGCTGACCAAAAAATAATTAATCAATAAATAATTTATATATGTGATAATTTATTTATCTTTGAACAATGCTTGTCGTTATTTTAGTGTCAATAATTTGTGCCATCATTTTGGATAAGAGCAGGTTCTGCATTCTTTGTGAGCCTACATAATGTGAAAAATCAAATATTTAGAGACGAAAGTAATAAAATTATTTTTAAAATCTTGTTTTTCAACACCTTCTCTTATAAGTTAGGTAAGATGTTGCAATCTTTCAATTAGGGGTCGGTTCTTGATTATTATTGTCAGGATTGAACTAACTATTTTGCGTAGTTAATTTCGTATGACTTAAATTTTTCAAATTGTTTGTTAATTGCTTTTTTTGTTTGAAGACACGCTACCCATCAAAATACTATTATCTTAGCAAAAATTCAAAGTTAGAGAATATTATAGTGTTAATTAATAAAAGTTTCAAACAAAGATTTGGCATACATATGATACTAAAGCGAAATTTGTAGTAAATTATTCAAAAATGAGTTTCATCTGTAAGTGTTATGCCATAGGTCCAATTAACTTTCGACATTAACACTTTTAATATATAATTGGTGCATATTTATGTCAAAATGTATTATTTAATTGAATTAATATTCTAATAAATTAAATAATAGAATTCGTAGATTCAAGTCTTTGTAATTTGTTAATCACAATAAGTCGTGATTGTGAGATACAAATTATATATGACTGAATTTTAAATCATCTGTGATCGCAAGTAATAATGAGAGATAGATATCGTTATTGTATAAACCATCACGTTTGATAATTCTTACTTGTAAAGTAGTAGTTAATCTCACAAGATAAAGTGTGGTGACACTTAAATGAATACGTGGATGTTTTGTCCTAGAACAAAATATTGGAGATCCGCTAAGGAGATTTCACATGAATAACTACCTAAATGTCAATAGTTAATCTCTAACGTTCGTTAGAGAAATTGATCATTTGACTTGAGGTCATCATAGTGTTTTATATGAGGACGGTCATACTTTGGTGATATTGGATGTTGCTCTGCCAATAGTTGCTAATACGGCATCATTCGAGTATGTTAAGAACATATGAAGGTTGTGAATGATCAATAGAGGATTTGTCACTATTAGATAATAAGATATTATGATCTACATTTCATTTAATTAAGTTAATAATGAAATAATTGGTCAATGTGTACTCAAAAGCTGAAAAAGAAGTTTTCGATTTATATTGACTTAATAGTGTGATGAAAGATATGATCGATAATTGAGATTGACACATATCCATATATCATAATTAATCAAATCATATTGACGAAAGGGTTATAATTCCACGGTAAACGAACAAGTTTGATTTTGTCATACCACGTGACGTTTTCCGTCACGACACATTGCTAGATGTCAATATGAGACGACAGATGTGAATCAATGATAAATTAAAAATGGGGTATTTTAATTTATCGATTTTGATTAGATCAAAATAATAATTCACGTAGTTAAGTATCGGGATCGAGAACTTGATAGGTCACACATAAAAGGAGGACCGATTAATTGACAAATGTTGTATAATTAATTGAGTTGCTTGTTAATATGCCTGAATTAATTAATTTGATAAATTTGATTAATTAATTAATGGACCAAATTTAATTAATTAAATTAATTAGATATTGGATCGAGTTAAGTTTAAAAGACGAGTCAAGCCCACTTAGACTTATATTAATAAGTCATTGAGGTTTCAGAAAAATAGAATATAACATAATTCATATTATTACTAGCACAAGAAAAGAGAAACCATAATTCTCTAATTCTTGTTCCTTGTGTGAATTTTTATTGGCAGTTGGACAATTGGATAATTGTAGATTGCAGATCGTGATTGTTCGTATTCCAAGATCAGCAAAAGAGTTTGCAAAATTTACAAAATGTATAATTTCTATCAAAGTTTCTTTCTAAACACAAAGTATATCCTTGATGGAAATTAAAAATTTTGTTTATATTCCACTGTATATATTAAGTAAATTTTCAACATCGCCTTCATTCTTCAGCGTCTCATTGCTAATTTAAGTTTATTTATTTTCTAATCAACAAAATTAAACAAATCGAGCCCTATTTGTGTTCTATTATAAGTATTATAAACTATTTTGATCATAAAACAATAAAGATGTTAAATTATTGTGCCCGCATGTAATTTTATGGGGAAAAAATCATTATATAAATTTGTCACATCTCATAAAATTATATTTAAAATTGAATTAATTAGCAATATAATTTCCTTAAAAAATCCCTTCCAAATTTTATTTTGATATCCATTTTTGTTTTGCATTGTGAATACAAAAATACGTTGCACATATTGTGTGGATGAAATACAGTTTTCCAACAAAATTAGATGCGTGAAGCAACATAACAACTCGATAGCATCCCCACCCCATACACGTGTCAACCATGCCATTTGGCAGCCAGCTGTCAGCAGTCATCAACTGCATTTTGATTGGCTACCGCAGAAAACTCATGTACCGTACAACCCAAAATACCACGATAATGTAATAATGTTACCGGGAACCGAAGCTAGTGGGCGGCTTGCCGGTATAAAATGAAACACCCGCAGTTCAATGAGGCATGTAATATGTTAGTTCCAAACGGCACCGTAGACACTACCACCACCAAATTTGATAAGATGGGAATTTTTAAATAGGAGTTAGCGTACGGAAGTTAAACAAATTACGGAGTAACCATTTTTTTAATAGAGTTTATAAATGTATTGACAAAATGTTGCGTTGATAGACGTTAATGTTGAATGACAATCACAAGTCATTGGGTTTTGAATTTGTGGTTGGTTGAATAATATTGACGAATCGATATAATTATGAACTTTTATTAATGTATTTGATACGTTGAATTGAATATAATTTGAAAAAATAACATGCAAATTTTATTTTTGTGTTTATCTGTCGTTCAGCTCTGAGTATTTGTTCAGTTGATTCTAAGTTGTTACACATAATTCCAATATTTAATGAGTGCCTAGTGCTATAAAGCAAAGAATCAACAAAGGGAATCTGGTTAATCGAGATTTAAAAGTGAATTTGGTCACGAAAATGGTGAAAATTATTTTTATACAAGTAATGTTATTTAGCATCCATCGAGATGGTAGTGGGTCCACTTCAATCGACTTAAATGCATCTTTAATTCATACACTGTCACATAGGCTGGTGGTGATGGTTAATATTATTCTATGAGTATAGACGGACGTCTTTTCACATAGATGTCTTTCAGAGATAATAATAATAATGCAAAAGAAAAGTGGCTTAATTAATTAAATAATTTGGTCTATAAGTAAAAGAAAGAGAAATTAGGCAGGTAGAAGAGGGCTATTTATTGCACCTCAAAGACAAACTTGGTACACTGCTAGAATTGTGACAGGCAAATTATATGCAGCACGAAAGTTTTATGTTTTCGTGAGGGATAAAAGCATGCTCTGTTCGACCAAATTGGAAAAAACAATTTTGCCACAAACCCTCATTAATATTCACAATTAAGCCACCATCCCCTCCACCCTTTTCCACTTTTAAACACTAAACTGTGGGCCATCCCAACACCCAACCCCCTTCATTTCCTCTATATAATCCTCTTCTCTCCTCCTCTCCGGCCACACCCCATAACCATTTCTCTCATATAGCTATCCATCCTTCTCTTTAGATTTCTGCACATATATATTTGATATAAAGAAAACAAAAAGGGAAGCCATGCCTGAAGCACCAAAACAACCCCAGAAGCCCACTGAATATGAATATGATGTGGCTGAAAAAAACAAGAAGACTCTTCACTTTATTGAAGATGTTACAGCAAACGCTGATCAAGTTCAAAAAAGGGTTCTTGCTGAAATTCTCTCTAGAAATGCCCATGTTGAGTACTTGAAAAGAAATGGACTCAATGGGCATACTGATAGAGAGACTTTCAAGAAAATCATGCCTGTCATTACATATGAAGATATTCAGCCTGATATTACCCGTATCGCCAATTGCGATAAATCACCTATTCTTTGCTCTCAGCCCATTTCTGAGTTCTTGACTAGGTGCGTATTTTTATTCTTATCGCTATTTCATATATGCAGAGATCAAGGCTAGCTCAAGTGTTGATAGTTTTTATTTCATATTGTATAATATATTCATGCACGTCGGTTTTCTTATGCTATGCAGTTCAGGGACATCTGGTGGGGAGAGAAAACTGATGCCTACCATTGAGGAAGAATTGGGGAGGAGATCATTGCTTTATAGCCTTTTGATGCCTGTGATGAGCCAGTTTGTTCCTGGCTTAGACAAAGGCAAAGGAATGTATTTTTTATTCATAAAATCTGAGGCTAAAACACCAGGTGGACTGGTGGCTCGGCCTGTTTTAACTAGTTATTACAAAAGTAATCATTTCAAGAATAGGCCTTATGATCCCTATACAAACTATACTAGTCCAAATGAAACCATTTTGTGCCTTGACTCTTACCAAAGTATGTATTCCCAAATGCTTTGTGGGTTATGTCAAAACAAGGAGGTTCTTCGGGTTGGAGCTGTTTTCGCCTCAGGTTTCATTCGTGCAATCCGGTTCTTGGAAAAGCACTCGACCCTTCTTTGTAAGGATATTAGAACAGGAACTCTTAATCCAAAAATTACAGATCCATCGGTGAGGGAGGCAGTAATGAAAATTCTTAAACCCGACCCAAAGTTGGCGGATTTCATTGAGGCTGAATGTAGTAGGGAGTCATGGCAGGGAATTATTACTAGGTTGTGGCCTAATACTAAGTATGTAGATGTTATTGTGACAGGGACTATGTCACAATATATACCAACACTTGATTACTATAGCAATGGCCTACCTCTTGTATGCACAATGTATGCTTCATCAGAATGCTATTTTGGTGTCAATCTTAACCCGCTTTGTAAACCGAGCGAAGTCTCTTACACTCTCATACCCAACATGGCCTATTTCGAGTTCTTGCCTGTCCAAAGAAATAATGGTGGGATCAATTCTATTTCCATGCCCAAATCCCTTAATGAAAAGGAACAGCAAGAATTGGTTGATTTGGTTGATGTCAAGGTTGGACAAGAATACGAGCTCGTAGTCACCACTTATGCAGGTAATTTATCTAGTAAACAATATTGTAGCTTCTTTTTCCCTCTTAATACAGTACATTATTGATTATTTCTAATCATGTACCAACTTTTTGTTACAGGGCTTTATCGGTACAGAGTTGGGGATGTGCTTCGTGTTGCTGGATTCAAGAACAATGCCCCGAAATTCAATTTCATTTGCCGGAAAAATGTTGTTCTAAGTATTGATTCCGACAAAACCGATGAGGTTGAGCTCCAAAATGCAGTGAAAAATGCAGTGACTCATTTAATGCCATTTGATGCACATCTAACTGAGTACACAAGCTACGCAGATACCACAACAATTCCAGGCCACTATGTCCTGTTCTGGGAGCTTAATGTAAATGGTTCGACTCCAATTCCCCCTTCGGTTTTCGAAGACTGTTGCCTCACCATCGAAGAGTCACTCAACACGGTGTACCGCCAGAACCGTGTCTGCGAATCAATTGGCCCTCTGGAGATCAAAATAGTGGAAGCTGGGACTTTTGACAAACTCATGGACTATGCCATTAGCTTAGGTGCTTCAATTAACCAGTACAAGACACCCCGGTGTGTCAAATTTGCACCGATAGTAGAGCTGTTAAATTCCAGGGTCGTCTCTAGCAATTTCAGTCCCAAATGCCCAAAATGGACTGCTGGCCATAAGCAATGGAACAATATGAACTGAAGATATCAACATAAAGTTGTATCAGCCAAGAAAAAACTGTTTCTGTGATCATTTTAGTTAGAATTTAAATCCCAATTAGATTAAACAACCATTTTTATGTTTTTTTTTCTTTTTTTTCTATTTCTTAAACTTTGTTTATTAGTATGATTAGAATCTGAATTAGTAGCCCTGTACAAAAACAGTTCTTGTATCAAGTAAGGCTGCTTACTTTAATGTCAATCTTCCATAGTGCCAGCCTGCCTTTTTTGCAAATTCTTCACACATTTTGTGTGAAATGTTATCTTATTTCGGCCAAGAATTCGGCCCCTTGAACGTTCAAACATCGATATACGCACAACAAATTGAGCTGCGCGAGCATATTTACAGTCTAGC